GGATTGCGGCCCTCGAGGACCGGATGTCGACACCCCTGATCTAACCAAAGCATACTGCATGAATCCTTGAAGTTTGAGAAGCATGTTAGATAACATCTGCAAAGCCAACTTGATAAAATATTGTAATGACTGATTTTTTTTTATTTTATTTTTTCACATTCATGTTTGCCAATTTAAAGCACTCCTGGTCCTTCACTGTACCCATGCCTTGCTGCATTTTTTTGAAAAGTGACCACCACCAAACATCAATCAGCAGAATTATATGAGCCCAGCAGCAGGAATAACTATTGTGTCATAAAAATGTTGCTCCTTAGACAGTGCAGCAGGTCAAAAGCTACAAATGGCTTGAATGATGACTTACCTGCACCAGATTCAAGCCTTGGATGCAGTTCTTCACTTCCTTTATAAGCTTTACTTTTTCAGCTGCCTTTAGTTCTGTTAGTTTTACTGTGAACTGAGTCTTCTCTTTCTTAGCCGGTACATCCTCCTCCTCTGCAGCCTAAGCAACAAAAAAACAAAACAGTAAATTTAATTTTGTACAGAGATCTTGGGAGCCACCTTACAACTCATAAAGGGCCTATAAAACACAACTTTGATGGTTTTAAGATAGGACATCTGTATCAGTGACGTGCTGATTGAACTATGCAGTGATTTCTCGCAGCTATTTTGTGGTGGTGATGTAGCAGGTGATGTCAGTGAAATAATTTGTACCTGAGCTGCAGGTACAGCTGATGCAGCCATCGCCCCCATTGGCATCATTCCAACATCCTGAATATTCAAGGTTTTCTGTGATAAAGACAACAAAATAAATCAAAATCACTCAATATGAAAACACATGTGGATCACAAAAGTCTATCTGACAAGTCATATGGTGGCTTAGATTCTGTATTTAGAACATTTCCACAAACCTTGAGGAGCTCATTGAGGTCCGACACCTCTAACAAGGTGAGGCTGGCTATGTCATTAACAAGCTGCTGGATTTTGGGGGAATACTGTTTGGGTGCTCCGTCTAGTGGAGGGGTGGCAATGACATCTGAATGGGTAGCTGGACTTGTTTTCAGAAGTCTAAGAGCACACAAGGCTGGTGTCTGCCGCTGAAGCTGTTGCCTGAAAAAGGAAAACAATATGGATAAATGACTGCACGTGGTCCTTAACTGTGACTGTGAGAAACAAAGACACAACGTCTCCAGATATATACAGTGTGGGCATGTCATGGATCCAGCTGCAACTTGGCACACTTGGCATCAAAATGTGTCTATTTTTTTTTTTCATCAGATGCTCCTCTGGTGTTCTGCTTTGCCTTAGTCCAGCACTTTCTAAAACATTACACATCTAGTATCTCACTTTTGGCTCAGCCTTCCAAATCTTGCCTAGCATTAACACATAATACATATTTTTTTAATCTGAAGCTGAACAATTTGATTACTTTAAAATCCACAGCATAATAGATTTAAAACATGGGATGGACCATTACCACATATCAATAGTGTGGTGGTCACACAAGGAGGATAGCATGAATGAGTAGAACCATGGACAACAGTTTTAGGGTCAGACATGCTACTTAATGAATGTGCTAATTCTCAGCTTTTGTACTTTACTAGTTTGGACATTTGTTCAGTGGACTGTACAAAAAATGGAACGCACGGTTAAGTCTTGCAAAAAGCACAAATTACAAAACTGTCTGCAAATGTAAAACCTAAATTAGGTGTTTTATGTGTCCTAACCTTTCACCCTAATGCTAGTTGGACATCAGTGATGGAAGCCCCGGCTTTACATTGAATGCAGTGGAAAGGAAGCAGCTAATTTGCTATCAGATCTGGTGGCTTCATCTGCTTCCCTGACATCTTATCTTGAGGACATATTAGCACCCAAATGTTTGCTCGGTGTTCAAGGATGCACGAACAAATTGAGAGATGCAGCTTGAGGTTATTTGACCAGCAAACACACGAACTTCCATAAGAGTGACCTCTACTGCCAGAAGAAAAGCTGCTTAATGACAGAAAACAGCTGCTGCACTTGGATTTTAGTCTCAAGCTACAAACGTGGGCAGGATGTGTTGTGTATCGTTAGTCAACGTGCAGAGAATGAGGCGTTTAATTTCATGGCTGCAAGGGTACATTAACGGCCGATCACTTGTCAAGCTAAGGTTAGCTAACTTACTAACACAGCCGGTAACTCTACTTCCAATGGCAAATAAAACTTCGTATTATGTGTTTACACGGGCTAAAGCGAGAACACTGAGTTCTACATTCACAATAACCGGCATTAGTCACCGGCTCTCTGCCCTTGAAGAGGCAGACATTCACCCACAAATGAGCGGTGGCTCCGGTGTTACTGTGTTGGCCGCTACGTACCGGTGTGTGCTGGCCGCGGCCCGCAGCGCGGTCCGGAGGCAGCGTCTGGTGCAGTACATGCTAGCGGTGACTGGAGCCGTTTGTCCCGGTGTCCCTGTAAAGAAAAACACGTCAAGTCTCTGACAGCCAGGTCTCCTTCCAGTCCTTCTGCCTCAAAAGCACATGGCGTCCTCTCTACTCCTGACCTACCCACAATGCACTGCGTGAACTGTTAGAAAACCTACGGGGGCCCAGAAGGGACATAAAGGGTCAATCAGTAAATCGAATATTAACATACAGCTATGCCCCAAATTAGTCATGTCCGTGGCATCTTTTGATTTATGATGAATTTTTATTCCACCAATCTGTTTCTTCTAAATGTAAAACACACAAAAAAGCAAGAAAAGGTGGTAAGACATTAAGTGATGATAAATTTCAGCTATTTCTTTGGGTGTGTTTATTTATTTATTTACATTAGTGCCTTGTGCAAATTATTCTTATCCCTTGTTGTTGTTGTTTTTTTTTTAAATTCTAAATGATCCTGGTGTTCTAAAGTGTTCTAATAGCTACAAGTCAATTAGAAGTCACAGCTAAAGCCAAATAGCTTAGATAGCTTCTTGTCAGGGTCCATCACTGAGAGAGTTACACATTGTGACTGCTCACAAGATGGGAAAGGGCTATAAAGCCATATCCATCTGTTTTCAGGTGCCATTGGATAGTGAAAAGCATCAGCAAAAAATACAAGGAGTCCAACACTGTGAAATATCTCAAAGGTTGTGGTAAAAAACCACAAGTGACCCCTGCATAAGCATGAATGGTAGCACAAGAGGCCATGTAGAATCTAAGAAGCACACCAATCCCATCCTCACGAATCAGCAAATCTGGTTCCAGCATCTCAAGATGGACTCTCCAGCAGACACTGCAAAGGGCCCGTGTCCATGGACGCTGACCAGAGGAGACTCCACTTCTCAAAGAGAAAAAAGCCCTTTGCAAAACCTCACCTGGACAAAGGCGAAAACTTCAGTTCATCAGTTCTGTGGTCAGAAACAGGGACATGGCTTTCATTTGTTGAAAGAAATGAGACAAATTCAACCCCAAGAACACAATCCCCATGGTCAAGCACTGCAATGCAAATGTATTGCTTTGGGGGTGTTTTACAATTCAGTTGAATTCAATTCAGAAAACTTAATTATCCTCTTACAGCAATGTCAGCCAATAGGCCAAGAAAGCTTGTGAGAGTAAACAGCATCATGAGAGACGAGGACTACAGGCAGTCTGAAGAAAAACAACTGCTGTTGGGTGACATCGGACCTTCCAACGAGATAATGATCCAAAGCATTCAAGCAAAGAGGTAAAGAAATGCTGAAAAGAAAACAACATCAGCATCTTGAAGCAGCCAGCAAGAGTCGAGACGTGAATTCTAATCTCAAAGACCAGGAGATCATTGTAATAGAGCAGTGGTCTGAAATCCCAGTGGAGGCCTGCAAAAAGCTTGTAAGCGGTTATAAAAAAACACTTGATAATTGTGGAAGCAACTAATGGCTTTTCCAATCAACATAGAAATAGTTACAAATTCATCAGAAGTAGCTCTAACATAATGTCTCTTGTTACTTGTGATCTACAGCCAGAAGAAAGCTTTTGGTCAAATACAAATTCACTATAAACTAAAGCTTTGGAATGGGTTCAAGTAATTTATGGTCTATTTTTATTTTACTGGTTTTGGCACTTTGAAAGAATCTTGTGTAAAGGCTGTTGCACGCTGGCTGTAGACACAGCAGCCAGCTACATTTGTTATTTATCTATTTCAAATTATAGTTTAATGCATACGACTGTTTTCAATAAACTAGGTTTGTCAGAGCGAAGTTAAGCGTTATACTTTTGTATTTTTTACAAATTAATACATTTCAATAATATCCCATATTCACAGGTACGATTATAGTAATGTATTGCCATGTGATATATTACCACACGTTATGACAATGATGGTATTACTGTAATCGGCATTGACTGCATTACAACCTTTATATAATAGTTGCTACATGATATTCAAACACACTTTTACTGCATGAACAGATCACTTTGTGTGTGTATATACTGTTTATGTGTCCTACCTGTACTGTAGCAGTGCTGGCCACAAGGGAGGAGCACAGAGGGAATCCTCTTAATCAGGTAATCTGAGCACCCATCTGCCGTTGCAGTCATCCACCACATCTATTCTCCACCGATGTGCCATTTCCCCACTAGCCTCCGTCACTCAGCACAAGTGAAGGTAAGAGGAATCCAGTAACAGAGAAAATACGTATAGGTTGATGACTGTAGAGGATATGGTGACATGACCTTACTTTCCTTCCTCCAGACCATGCTGGTGTCTCCTCAGGCAGAGAGGAACTGGGAGGGTGTTTGTTCAGTGCTTGAAGATGTTTTGGAACCCCAATCACACAGGCAGTTGTTTGCCTTAGAGCTGGGCTCTGGAACCGGGCAGCACGTCATACGGTTTGCTCAGAAGATGCCTTTTGTCACTTGGCAGCCATCAGACATCAAAGAGGAGTCTCGCGAAAGGTTTGTGTGTCATAGTCAACGGTTGGCAATTGTTATGCTGTCCTGTGTGCATCAGATTCATTCAAATTGTATTCATTCAATCAAAACAAATGACCTGAAAGTAGTGCAGTACTCATCTGTGTGACAGGAAGCTTCCAGGGCATTTTCCTTTAAATACATTGATATGTGTGAGAATGTATGAATTTAAAACAAAAATGTGAGATTAAGTCTGCACACTTTGTTTACAGCATCAAGGCTTATATTGCTGCAACCTATGCAAAGACTGTGCTGCAGCCTGTCCACTTGGATGTCAACGAACCGTGGGAGAAATGGGCAGGCCTTTCTCGCAGCTCCTGTGATGTTGTTATTGCCATTAACTTACTGCAGTACAGCTCCTTCCAAACTGCACAGGTAGCGTCTAGAGAACCACCTCAGGGTGTTAAGCTGATTTGCTTGAAAAACGGAGACACTGGTATAAGTAGTCTTACGGCACAGAGTTTCTAAATACCACTCTTTGTCTATAATTTCCCAAGGGTGTTTTCAATGGAGCAGGTCAGATCCTCAAACAAAATGGCCTTTTGATAACATATGGGGTAGGTTCAGGTTTTTTTTTTTCTCTTGCACTGTTCACGTCATCATCTGAGTGTACAAATGAATGACACAACAGACTCTAGGAAGTGACACAGTTTAAAATCTAAAATGTTTTCCAGGTGTATGCTATTAATGGAACCATTACACCAAGTTGCAACGAGCACCTGGATGCAGAGCTTCGGAAAATGTGAGTTGGCATCAATAGTCTCTATTACATACTACTCATGATACATCATTTCCTGCATTTCTATTCTATTGTTAAAAAAAATAATAAATTCATGTTAATGTGTTTAAACACAGGTCAATGTGCTAACAGTTTATTTTGCAAATATATGTGATATACTGAATTGAGCCAGACTCCCAAAATCAACTAGCCAAACTGTTAAAAACAACATTGTCTGGTTCTGCTGGTAGGACGTACAAATATTGTGATATTTAATTCTGTTGCACAGGAATCCAGAGTGGGGTCTTCCAGACATTGATGTGCTCAGACAGCTGGCTTATGGAAATGGGATGCGTATGGAGAGGATAGTGAGTCACATACCGTAGCTTAAGGTACTGGCAATAAATACCGCCAACAACATACCTTTCATACCTGTAACATTTCCCTTCCAGGTTGAGATGGAAGACTACTACAAATGCCTCATCTTCAGAAAACTTTAAAGAAGCCAAAGTACACAAAGGAGATTAACAAACCTTTTTTTCCCCCCTATATCCATGTATAATTCTAAGTTATGTGTAATTCTGCCATATCAATATTGTGTCATGTTACAGCCTTCACATTTGTAGAAGACACTTTAACTGCCCCTAAGTTACACAGAGGTATCAACTTACATGAATAAAGAAGTCAAATCATCACTTTTTTTTTTTTTTTCGAAACCATGTGGGTGATTATAAAACACAAGCTAAAGCATATGGACAATAAGAACCAGATATTTATTAAATATAATTTTAAAATTACTTTAAAGTCAGACAGATCAGTATGATGGAATAAAGAAGTTCACAGATGGCAACTGAAGAAATTACAGAAATCACCGATTGGGTGTGTGACACATACATGCAGCACGTCATGTTTGCTCTGTAAGCATTTCCACATTTCTGAAGAGTCAAGTACACTTTAGAAAGAGTGCCTTCCTGTACTTACGATGTAGCTATTCTATATATGTAACATTTTCAACCAATTGGGTGTGAACCAAATGCGGAACCTGCAGGCAGTTTGCAGTTAAATGGAGGTTAAGGTCATACGCTTCTGTCAGTCTTGTGATAGTACTTTATGTTTGGCAACACAAGTCACTTTATTGAAAGGGATGCAGGATGCTAGTAGAGTTGCTGGACTGCTTTTAGTATGTATATTGTACTGCAACTAGTTGTGAAATTTAATGATTTAATCTATGAAAGTATATTCAGTGAGCGTTAAACAACTACCCAGCTAATCTTCTACCACACCTCCCATAATGTACAATCCCTGCAATGTGTTTCCTCGTCATGGAAACTACATTAAAACACTCGTTAGTTCAAGCAGCACGCAACAAATGGATGCCAAAACAAGATGAACTGTTAATGTGCATCTGGGTGCATAAGAAGGGACGATCTGAAAACTACAACTGGAATGTTAAGCAGTGAACCTGATGAAGATGTGAGTGCCACTTATTCCAGGCCTTTGACTGTGCTTTCTCTCCCTAGATGTCACTCTTTCGACACACCCACAACCACCTAAAACAGCACATACAGATGTTTCTCAATCACTGCCCAAACTGTTAGAACGGTTGCAACAATTCACTTCCATTCCAGAAAATAAATGAAATTTAACATGCAAATTTTGCTTTAGAAAAATATGAGACAAAGGATGGTCATGTCTTCTTTTTTTGTCTTCTAAATTATTATCATATTTTCATTTTAACTTTAATACCACTGACTATTTCTGCGCTTCAGTTATTCATTTAATAAGGAAATACTACATACATATCAGCTGGAAAGAAGGAGGAAGAGGATGAAGGGACTGGGTTATGGTGCCATCCAATGCAGCTTTACCCCTGATTCCCATACTTCAGTGGGGGAGAGGTTAGGAGAGCATCAGTTCTGCAACATCATCACAATATTTCACATTGCCACAACATCACAGCAAGGTGGAAGGTGGGGAGTATGTGTGTGTTTCGAGAGGGTATCCTCAGAGTCCAGAGGGGGAGGGGAGAGACCAAAGGAGAAGAGAAGGTGTAGTGTGTAGGACCCTGCAGGATGTGGGCTTCTAGTCGAAGGAGATGAGCTGGGCCTCTTGGCTGCCCGGCACAGCTGGAGGAGCCTGCTGCTGTGCCTGCTGTTGTTGTTGGGGGCCACCAGGGGGAGCAACCTAGCAAGACAGGAATGCACAGGTAAAAATGGGCACATTAGTGAGGATTAGGATTTAAATAACTCAGATGCATTGAAAAAGGATAAATAAAAATATGAATGATGAAAGCAAAAAGAACTTTCCCGAGTCAGTCTAGAAGGTTTTCGTACTGCTAACGGGTTAACAAAAAGATGACATGGCTGACCTGCTGGTACATGGGCTGCTGGCCTGGCATGTACGGCTGTTGTGGGGGCATATTGGGGTCCTGTCCTGGCAATGCTGAAATCATGTTCTGCATGTTGTACGGCTGGTAACCCATGTAACCCATACCGTTGGTGGGTGCCGGCTGGGACATGGGGGGCATGCTCTGTGCTTGAGAGACCACATTCTGCAAAGAACACAGGCAACAGTTAGCGGGAAATCTCTTATTTTAATATTTTGGTGGTAGTTTAAGTCATGATCAGAACATTAAATGGAGGCGTCAGTCAAACCTGGTAGGCCTGTGTAGGTGTGGGCTGATAGTTGGAGTAAGGTGGACTCGTTGTGGGTGGAGCCTGGCCGGGAGGAGGAGCAGGCTGCCCGTTGGTGCCTGCAGCTTGGTACATGTATGCATTAACCATATTAGGATCTGGCAAAAGAGAGAAAGGTCCCAAAGAGGAAAACATTTTAATCAAAACTTCAAAGCATCATATCAAATGTTTCATGACTGAATGTTATGCAGTGAGTCAATTAAACATGGTAAACTTTCCAATTCAAGTATTTCAGAGTATTCTTTCAACAGTCTAATTGATTATCTTCTTGTTGTTGACCTCCTCACCTGTAGCAGCACTGGGCATGGCCTGATACTGTCCTGGTGCAGTCTGTCCAGGCTGGTTCATATAGATGTTGTGCATAGGTGAACCCTCCACAGAACCAGCAGGACTAAAGGTGCCTGGGTAGCTGGGTGGAGCACCAGGCTGGTATACCACCCCTCCAGCAACATTGGGGGGCAAAGACTGCATCTGCATACAAGCACAAATAGATATTGTTAAACATATGCCAAAAAGACTAAAAATTAAGACGGTGAGTATTTTTTCATTTAAATGACAAAACAAACTACAGCAGCAATGTTGTAACATTATGGCCCGTGTGTCTACAGCTTGTCATGCCAACCCCTCACACTGGGTGATTTTACCAATGTACCACCCAATCAATCACCACTAATCCCAATTAGAGCAGAGACTGGGATGAAATGCTACATACACAGACAACCTTGCATGAGTGGGACCACTGATTCTAGTCTCATTAGGTACATTTTGTTCTTTAGGTACTTCCCATTCACATATTTTTGCTGTTAACAGAGACATTGGGGAAGTTTCTGTTACATTAAGTGAGTTCACTGACTAGATCATTTTTGGTATCAGTTTAGGCTGATGGCATGTTGTGTACCTGGGCATAGGGCAGAGAAAAAGCAGGCATCTGGGCTCTCATCTGGATTGTATGTTTCTGCTGCTCCAAACGCATCTGCCTCTCTTTCTCCTGCTCCTGGAGGCGCTGAATGGCCAGCTGTCTTTGCATTTCCAGGTACTCCTTCAGTTCAAAGAAATACTTGTAAGCATGTTACTGAACACAGCAATAATATCTGCAGTCTCATTGGAGAGATGAATTATGTTACCTGTTTCTTCTGCCTCATGATCTCCAGCTTTTGTGCCAGCTGGATCTGCCTCTGTCTCTCCGCTTCCTCTGCAGCACGGCGCAGCTTCTCTCGGTGTTCGTCCCGGAGCGCGTTAAGGGCAGCGCGAGCATCACGCACCTGAGCCAGTTTGTCCTGCAGCCCCTCATAATACACTGACAAAACACAGATTTGTCATAGTTCAGACACTGGACACACAGAGGGACATAAACACAAAGACACACTTGCACAAAGTCCACACTCACGTCGCTTCTCATCTAGTTGGTTGAGGATGTCCAACAGCTGTGGATGCATGTTGTTGATCGACTGGAAGAGTGAGAGCACGGCGCTGTCGTTGGTGATGCTGCGTCCACGCATGTGGTTGCTCTTCATGCGGTTAAGGAAGGTAGTGACAGCATTCTGCAGAGCCTTCAGGAACTGCTCATGGTTCTCCTCTGACTCGCCGTTCTGGTACTGCTGCTGAAAGCGGGGATGACAGGGGAGCAATGAGTATGGGGTCGCATGTGTTTTTCCTACTCCAGTTCAGTGAGACATAATGTTTTTTTTTTTTAAATTAATTAATTTTAAAAAATAAAATAAATTTGTAAGACCTGCCATCAGTACTAAATTATACCTCCACTATGCTGACAGGCTGGACAGGCACATGACTTTCTACAGGCTGAGCGATTGATGGAAGGGGCTCAGCCAATGGCACAGGGGCAGGAGCTGAGGGGGTGGGACTCTTGCGAGCTTCTTCTTGTTTCTTCTCCCAATACGTTCTGTTCAAGTAACGGGCCAGCTGGAATTTTGTGACATTTTCATATTAGTTTCAAAAGCAATGAGGTAGCATTTGCATTTTTCTACCATAATGCAGATATTTAAAAAGAGCTATAAACAACATGTACCTCTGGGTCTACCTCTTCTGCTGATGGAGCAGACGAGTTCTGCAATGAGTGTGTTGTGTATTAGTCAATGACAAAACACATTTCAACAAGTTTCTAAATAATAAGAAAACCTTTAAACCATCTTTAGCCAATAAAAAAAAAAAGATGCTTGGTCATGAAAATAATACATTTAGCTCGAATGAAGTCTTACCACAGGGGAAGTGTAGAGGGTGCTGACTGGCGGTGCTGAGGAAGTCACAGGGGTAGGATCAGCTTTGGGATACATTGAGTATGAGTTCTTTTGTCTCTGTAAGTGAACATAGAGCAGTGTGTCAGTATTTATTTTGTTTTGGTACCAACTGTAAAAAAAAAAATTAGTTAAAGTTAAAATTTCCATTGTGCGACCTACCATTCGCTCCTTCTCCTCAGCCTCACTTTGGGAAAGTGCGATGGCCAGCTGCAGCTCCTCCTCCTCCTGCAGTGCTGCCTCATCTCTCTTGGGGGGCATCTGGTGAGAAAGAAGAGCTATGGTAAGATTTAGGGAGCAGAAACATCGAAAAGGAACCAAAGATGAATCTTCAGCAGGATGAACAAAAAAAAAAAACCCTCCAACACACGCCAGTGTGAAGACAAGAGAATCTGTCAAATAAATGTGTGTTTTCCAATTAGAGAGTCCTCAACACACATTTATTTCCAGTGTGATCATAAAGTCATTCCATTTTTCTGACCTATAGTTTCTAAACAATCACCTGTGACTGTTGGGACAGTGGGCTGGTCAGGTACTCGGGTGGCAGTTCAGCAGAACCTGAGGAAGGGGCTTTTCCTTCAGCTTTCCTAAGTGGAGGAGAGAGGGAGGGGTGGCTGGTAAGGAAAAGGGATCAGGGAGGACAAACAGCCTTTGTAAATGAGAGGAGAGCCTGTTCAATGAAACAACAACTGTCGAAAAACAGAACAGTACAT